CTAGGTTTTTAATTTTGACAAGCAATACATCTCTAATTACCTTTTACTAATTTTATATCTTTTTATTACCACTCAACTCCATTTCAATTTTCTCTCTAATTTTTACTTTGCATTATTTCTTGGCTTCTGTTGCTCAAAGGCTATTATCTCCTTATACTTATATTTTATATTTCTTTAACTATAATATTAGCATTTTTTTAATTTTTTTGTTGTTTCTTAAGTATCATTTTGCCTTTATTGCAAAATTATAATTGGTTTTATTTGATCTATTTCATATATATATATATACATATATAAATATTGTTATTTTTTTATTTATATGGTTTATTTAATAAATTATTTGTAGTTTACTAGTACTAAATAAGGTTTGTATATGTGGCATGGACACAAGATTAAATAAACAAAGGAGAAAGGCAATTTTAACACAAAAGCAACATTCACAACATATTACACCATGTAAACCAATTGAAAATAGATTTTCAAGGTCACATTCTACTATGGATGTTGAAAGTTACTCTAAATATCAATAAGGAAATATTTAAACAACACAAAACACCAGAAACATTTTAGGCAACAATTCTACCCTTTTGATATAGAATATTCACCCAAATTATAATCGTTACCTATAAAGTAATGTAATCAATACAAGCGGCCATTCTCAAGATCGAACCCAACTTAGTAGATCTCTATTTACTCCTATTATTCATGCTGTAATGACAAATGTTTTTTCTTGGACAAGTGTAAATAAAAATGGTTCTATTAGCACAAGGATAAATTCTGATAGGGTTCTTTCACAACATGCATCTAACCTTGCAAATAATATGATTCTACATTCATTGTTGTCACCTTAAGAGATGAGAAGTCAAACAATTGACAACAATTCTATGATTAGGCATTTATTTGATGATCATACTTTTTAAGGTTCATTTTATATTATTAGTGTATTATTATTCTTTTATTACATATATATTAACCATATTAACATTCAAAATTTTGATTCAATGGATAGAAAATACAAAAAAATCATATGGTACAGAAATCATTGAATAAATTGTTAGAGAAAATGCCTACAAAAGTATGTGATATTTTTTGAATTACTATTTAATTAAAAGATATATTAATACATTAATTTTGATGCTAATTTTATTTTATTTTGTAGGAAATATTTTTGAAATATGGGATTTTAGAAATCCAATTGAAGTATGCACTTACTATGGTGCAATAGTTTGGTATGAAAAACGTAAAGTAAAATAAAAAAAGTCATGACAACCTAAATTCTCACTATATTGTTCTCGAGGAAAGGTTAAATTGTCTCTTTTAAAAGAGACTCTTCCCTTTTTAAATGAATTATTGGACTACAATGGAGGTCGATGTTTAAAGTACTTTAGAAAGAATATTTAGGCAGATAACTCTGTAATTACTTTCATTTCAACTGGAGGCATTGTAGACAATGAAGTTAATGATGGAAATAGACCTTATGTCTATCGCATCAATGGCCAAAATCAGCACAAAATTGGATCTGTGTTGACTACAAAAGACCAGGTACCTAAATTTGGGCAACTTTACATATATGACACGAAAAATGAGATCTCTTGCAAATTACATGTCATGTCTTCTAGCAATTTTCAAGTGACCTTGATACTGAGACAATAAATAGACTTTTGAAGATGTTGGATGAACACAACCCTTTGGTGAAAGTTTTTTGAATGGCTAAAGATAGATTTAAGAAAACTGATTTTCACCTAGTAAAAATAAAGTTGCTTTGAAAGTGTAAAAAAAATGGTACACAATATAATCTTCCATTTGCTTCTAAAGTTGTAGCACTTATTATTGGTGATGGAAGCCAATCATCTAGAGATAGAACTATTGTTGTTAAAGAATATGAAGTTGGTTTAAAAAGGATAAAAGAAATACATCTGAGTTTTATAGTAATGCAATATCAAATATTGTTTCCCTATGGAGAGGATTTTTATTAAACAGATATTGAGTACAGTGATACAAATGAAGTAATTTCCATAAAGCGAAAGTTTGTTACTTTTTGAGATACTCTTGCTTTTAAATTACAACAAAGACATGAAGAAGATAAAACTTTGATTCGTAGGGGACGTCTATTTCAACAATTCTCTACTGATGGATTCACATCCATGGAAGATGGTAGGATAAGATGGATAATGGAAAATTAGCCACAACTTTGAGCGAAATTGGGACTGAGTCAAATGAAAACTAGTTTGCAAACTAGAAGAAAAAATTAGCATGCACAGCGAGAGTATTATTTCCCTAAAAATAAGGGTGTTGCTAGAATGAGTGTGGGGAAGAAAGTCATGATCCGTAAATTGGTCCATGCCTAGGGGTTCTTTTTGAATCGAATTCTAGCAGGATAAAGTCTAATAGTTAGAAGGACTAGGCATACTAAAGGTCTATGACGTAAGACAGAAGCCCAGAATAGTGGTGGAGGTAGCAATCAGGACTTCAGTGGCTTAGTCAATGAGGTTATGTTTAGCAGAGTTAAGTCAGGCCTAGGTGTGGGCACATGGTTAGACCCAGGTGCGGACATTGTTGAACATAAACTTGGGATAATTAGATTAGACAACATTCAGTCGAGCTTAGGTACAAGTACAGGTACGAGCCCTAGCACAAACACTGTTAAAGACGAGTTTGGAACCGATCATGATAGATTCCCACTCAGATTTAATCAGAGATATTGGGAATATGTTGCAGTATCATATCCCCTAGAATAAGAGATTATATCATATCTTCTAAAATCAAGGGATTCATGATGATTTGAAAATTAATTTAATTCATAGTCTTTAGGAAGATAATCTCAGCATTAATCATAAGGGGAGACTTAACTATAAATAGGGGTTTCCCCCACCTTTATTGTACACATAGCTACTATTGAGTAATACATAACCTTACTCTTGCCCTACGTTCTGCGATATTTACTCCTTCATCAAGCATCTCTTTAATGATAGCAAAATGAATCATGCCATCATTCATAACAATTATCCAATAATCATCTCTATTTGCAGCAACACCATTCATGAATCTAATTCTTCAATCGATATGCTTTATAATTTCAAAGAACAATATGAATATAAAATCTTTACAAAAGTACAAAAAATGATAAAATAAATTAAAAATAAAAAAAACAAAAAATATAACAAAAATAAATTTATATACATACTTTTCATCAATTGACGTAATTCTGTGCTAACGTGCTATTTAATTTTATAATTATAAATATCTCGCAGTTAACAAACACAAATTTTTATTTGTCAATTATTTATTTCAAAAGTTAATCTATCAATTATAATATACTTCAATTGACTAAAAGTCAAATTTGAAGTGAAAAAAAAATTAAGATCGTGACCAAAAATAAACAATAATAAAAATACAAACACTAAAAAATACACTAATTGACTAAAAAACAAACTTGAATTACCAAATAAAAAATCATAAATTATGATTATAAAATTAAAAAAAATTATGAAAATACAAACATAATAAAAATAAATAAAATCTCATGATTGAAATATATATATATATATATATAAAATAACAACATGAAATACACTTATATAACGCTTTTATAAGAAATAAAAAATCATAAGTTATATGAAAATCAAAAGTTAAAACATAAATGTTAAAAATCAAGGGTTTTAATAAATTTTAATAAATAATGATTTTAAAAAATATGAATAGGAGAAAATCGGAAGTCATAAATCCATGTAAATGTTAGGCAATCAAAAGTTATTGAATTTTATGTAATAAATTTAAAAACATATATGCTTAAAATTTATGTAAAAAAGACTTGACATTTATTATAAAATATTTGAGAAATGATAATTAAAATGTAAACCGTAAAAAAAACACACCAATTGACTAAAAACCAAACTTGAAATACCAAAAAAAAAATCAGAGATTATGATTATAAAATTAAAAAATTATGAAAATAAAAATACAACAAAAAAAATCTCATGATTAGAAAAATATAATAGAGGCATAAAATATACTTATATAACCCTCCATCCAAAAAAAAAAAGGAAAATTCATAACATAAATGTTTAAAAATCAAAAGTTTCAATAAATTTTAACAAATATCGGTTTTAAAGAATATGAATAATAGAAAATCAAAAAACATGAATCCATATAAATTTTAAGGAACGAAAAGTCTATTAGATTTTTTGTAATAAAATTAAGAGATAGTTTAGAATTTATGTAAAAAAAATTTGACATTTTATTGTAAAATATTTGAAATAAATAATAAAAATGCAAACACTAAAAAAATACATTAATTGACTAAAAGACAAATTTGAAATATCGAATAAAAAATCATAAATTATGATTATAAAATTAAAAAAATAAAAATGCAAACACAACAAAAAAAAATTCATGATTGAAAAAAAATTAATAGAGACATGAAATACACTTATAGAACCCTCTCATAAAAAAAAAAAATGAAAAACCATAAGTTAGAAGAAAATCAAAACTCAAAACATAAATGTTAGAAAATAAAAAATTTCAATAAATCTTAGCAAATAATGGTTCTAAGGGACATTAATAAGAGAAAACCAAAAGTCATAAATCCATATAAATATTAGGCAACTAAAAATCTATTGGATTTATGTAATAAAATTAAAAGATATATGTTTAGAATTTTTGTGAAAAAGACTTGATATTTATTATAAAATATTTGAGTTTTATATTATATATGATTTAATATAATTAAAACATGCCATGAATACACGTGGTAGTACAAAAAATATATATATAAAAAAAATGTTCGGTTCTATACGATCCAAATCACAATTTCCGGTCAACAAGGATGGCACGAGTGGCAAGGGGTGAGGCCCTAGTGCATAGGCTCCCGGATTTAAGCTCATTGTAAATTTTAATTGAATTGATGATTTACTCTGAAGAGATGCCTAAACTTTTTCTCAATTTTCAATGGTATTTGGATTGCTTATGCAGTGATCATAACATCTAAACAAACCTCCCTTAGATACTGCCAAAAGTGTAAAGACAAAGTCACGTTGCACTTTCCAAATGTGCAAATCCTTAGTGATGAAGATCCCGGTCGTTGCTGGGGCCCAAGCAGTTGAACAGACTCGTAAACAAGTCCAACGTCCCATGCACGTGTTATTCACTTCAGCTGGAAAGGTTTCAATTTTATGGCACAACCAAAACCTACCTTCAAATCTCTGCAATTTATTGAAAAGGCGATTCAGAGTCTTTGTTTTCCATGTCTATTCAGGTCTGTATGTCCATATAGTCAATGCCCTGAAAGCAGAATTGCCCACTAGTGTTTAGTGTTTACCATTTTGAGGGTAGAAATGGAGAAAGGAGAGCTTAAAGCAGGGAAATCGTTGGAAGAAACCCCAACTTGGGCTGTTGCTGCTGTGGTCACTGTTATGGTTTCTTTTGGTTTCCTCTGTCATCACTCTTTGAAAAGGTTTGCGGAGGTAATAAAACAATGTCACCTGTTTTTTATTCTCTGATCTCTCATGAATCTGGAACGGTGGAACCTTCCAGCCTCTAAGTTTGATTGTTGTTAATTTATTTGCATCTCCATCACTTTTTTCAATTTATAGTGGCTGGACAAGACTAAGAGGAAATCTTTGCTAGCAGCCTTGGAGAAGATTAGAGATGGTAAAATTGGTTTGAGATTGATTTTGTTTAATGTCTTTGTGATTCTGTTTAATGTCTGTGTTGTGACAAACAGGACTTTTTTTTTGGTCTTATGATATCAATGTTATCTGTGAGCAGAATTGATGCTTTTTGGGGTTCTCTCGTTGTTGATGGGTCATTGGATTGCATTTTTTGCTAAAATTTGTGTCAAATCAACGGTCTTGAATAGCCGATTCTATCTTTGCGCAAAGGTTGGTGATCGATTAATGTTAGAACAAATGCTTGTTTCAAGTTCAAAGTACTTGAACAACACGGTTTCCAGAGAGCAGGAGACTGCCTGGCGGCATGACTATTGTCCCGAGGTAGCCTCACTTCTGGTCATTGCTTTTTAATTTTGAGATGCTTGGACACTTTGATGCTGTCTCTTTTAAGTAATTAAGTGTTATTATTCTGTTTCCATACCCTGTGAAACCTTTTTAGTCCATTGAATTTCACTTTACAGTGCAATTGCCTGGAATTCTTCACAATTTGTAATTTTCTTTCCAGGGTCAGGATTCTTTTGCTTCATATGAAAGCCTTGAGCAGCTTCACCGTTTCGTATTTGTTCTTGGTGTCACCCATGTTTCTTACAGCTTTATTGCCATCGCGTTTGCTATGATTAAGGTCGATGCATCTCCTTAATGATACAACTCCCAATATGCACCCTAATTTTGCTCTTAATATTTGCCATTAAAGCGCTAAGTTTATAGTCTAGTTTTTGCAGATTTATAGCTGGAGAACATGGGAGAATCATGCCAAGACTATGGCTATTCAACATTTACAAGGTGCAAATGTTTGTAGTTGATGTTAGACTTTAATTCTATTCATTATTCGTTATGTGTTCATTCTTATCAATCTCATCCCTATTACATTAACATTTAAATCTAGATTCCTCACAAGATGAAGCAGTTGGTTTGAAAATGAGGCGACTGAATACTTTCATTTTTCACCGTGTCTCCCATCCATGGAGCCAACACAGAGTTCTTGTTTGGCTGGTATCCCTTCTTGAGATCTTGCTTCTTTTGCCTGGAACATTGCTGTAGATTTTCATTATCATATACAAAAAGCACCTTTTTTTCCTTCCATTTTATGAGATATAATAGAGGTTTCCAGATAGAGAAATATCAGATTTGCCTAGCCTTTGTCTGATATTTCTTTGTAAGATGAATAAGGCAATTGAAAATTTGCACTTCATGTTATCACTATGATGAACTCTTTTGATACTTCTTGACATTGTTGGCTGTATGCCACATCTCATCAGTTTTGTTTCTATTTTCATGATTTTGCTGAGAGTTCTGTCCTTGTAGATGATCTCTTCAGGTTATCTCTAACTAAATGTAGCTTCAAAGAATGCTCTTTTCCTCTGTATTATTTATTGTAATTCCTGCACTCCTTCGTACCATTTACTTTGAAGTGATTTTGAACTCAAAATATATAATATTATCGTGCAGCTTTGCTTCAGCCGCCAGTTCTGGAGTTCTATAAACAAAACTGACTATAGTGCCTTGCGCTTGGGCTCATACTGATGTCGTTAGGTCAACTGGAGGTTTCGTTTCCTGACATTACATGTGATTGGTTTGATAGTTAAAAAATCTATTTCCTTTTATTTTATTCTTCCTAGACTCATCAACTTCCTTTGACATATGATTTCCATAATTATATGGTTCGAAGCATGGAAGAAGAATTCTGCAATATTGTTGGCATTAGGTAATGTATCTACCCTGATATGCCCATTGATAACCACTTTGAAATTATGGAATCAATCTTAGGTCAAGAAAGTAAAACAGGGCCTTTATGGCTGCAATGGTAATAGTTCTAAATAAAATAGAAGCATGATTTATATTTGTTTTTCTCCTTCTATAGCGGCAGACTGATTTGGTTGTATTGGATTTCTTTTGCAGCGTGCCCTTCTGGATTTATTGCATACTATGCTTCTTTCTTGATTTCCATGGTAATTTTCCTTGTGTTCTGAGAAACTAATACATACACAGGTTAGATATACTTTTGAAGCTTCCACATCAAATAGCCCCCCAATACATTAGCTTAGCCTAAGCTATTGTGGTGTTTGCACTCTGCTGATGCATGTAGGCTAAGACACCATTTTAGCTGCATGTTGTTGTGTTTTTAAGATTATCAGATTTTTTTGAAGCTAAAACCAGTTAAATGAAATTGTCATGAGGATAATTTTCCTGTCCATTGAGGTTTGGTTGACGTTCATGGAAATCAAATGGCTCTTTGAGGCCTCAACTAAATTGCAGTTCTCTAATTTCCACCTTTTTTCTCTGTTAACAACTACCTGCTCCTGTAATTGCCCATTTGTTGTAATGGCTTCAGAATCATATTCAATTCTATGTTCATGCATCAATGATGTCCTTTCGCATTAATCATTTATAATATTTCTTGCTTGATGTTGTCCTGAAGTCAACTTCTGAAGGATTAATATTCTTTTGTCAGGAACCCATATTTACTTTTGGCTTTCGTTCCTTCCGGCCATTGTACGTCTTCATCATTGCATTTGGCTTCTAAATGTTATATCAACTAACAAGTCACCACTTATACTTTCCTGATTTTTTTTCATCTTTTCTTTTTCTTCCATTGTTGATGTATATAAAAGTTGATACTGCTTATTGGTACAAAACTGCACCGTGTGGTTGTAAAATTGGCTGTTGAAATCATGGAGCACAATCCATTGGAGGGTTTTCATCAATTTAACCTGAGGGATGAACTCTTTTGGTTTGGAAGGCCCAGGTTACTTTTATGGTTGATACAACTTATTTCATTTCAAGTAAGTGAAGCGATAACATTACATGTGGCTTTAAATTGTACTACAAAATTGAATGTTTGTCCGTTAACATGCATTTTGCTTGCAGAATGCATTTGAGATGGCTTCATTCATTTGGTCACTGGTAAGATTTTTGTAATGACGCTCATTTGGACATATAGAGCATATCTTTAGATGTAATTTAGAAATATACTAGGGAAGTGAATCTGTAATCATACTGCTGCAAGATTTTTCAACCCATTTCATAGAGTAAAATTTGAATAACAGGCTGCTGAATAGCTTTTCGAATATTCTTGTTTTCTGTACTGGACTTTATCCAGTACAGATATATAGAAAATTCATGAATGAATTATTTCTAATATTATCGATCACAAAAAACGCACTTTCTTAATGTAAAATTCTGGGAAATTCTGATGAATCACTTATTATCTTCTGCCTTATTTGGTTCAGTTACAGAGAAATATAGGTAGAACAAGACAGGTTTTCTGATTTTATGACTTATGATACTAGTTATTTCTACTAGCCATTTATGGTGCTGATTCTGAGTTCTGCTTTTAGTGGGAAATCAAGGATCCTTCTTGCTTCATGGAGAATCATGCCTTCCTTGCAAGTCGTTTGGCATTTGGGTATTATATAAATATCATTATGATATTATGCTACTTTGATCCAAAAATATTTAAGTTCTGATTCCCAGCATTTTCATCGACAATTTGTTTGATTTCGACTACTAGAATTTCATGTTGTATTTGCTGGCTGGTTTATGCAGTATTATCTCCCAGTGCTGGTGCAGCTTTATTACATTCCCCCTCTATGTTATAGTAACACAGGTTTGACCGTTGACGTTTCTAGCTACTACTTGATCCCTCTGCCTCTCTCCTCTCTCTCTCGAACATTTGTTCTTATGGTTGTAGATGGGTTCAAGGTTCGAAAAAGCTGTAGTTTCTGAAAGTGTGAGGCAATCACTGTCCAAATGGAAAAGAAGAGTGAAGGAAAAGCAAGGTTCCTCGGTTACACTACTCAGGAAATCAAACTCAACCTCATCCTTGGACTCAACGGAAGCTGATCACATAAATAAAGGCTGCAGCTTTGCCTCAAGCAGCACATGCCAAACAATCCCATCAGAGAAAAATGCATCCGTCCAGCATCAAGAGGCCTCTGCAAGTGCATCAGAGAGTTCAATACACGAATCATCACCTAAAAGGAAGAAGTCGAAGCCTCAACTTAGCTCTTACCTTGAGGATTCCAACTCCAATTCTGATATGAATGCCCATAACAATGATGACAAATTTAATCTCGAAGATGAAATATATCACATTGAACCTTGACCTTGTTTTTATTTTCTTCTGGTTGAAGAGAAATTAAGAACAAAATAAATAAGAGTACAAGATTTTTCTTTCCTTTTTTTTTTTTTGGGATTTGGTAAAAGAGAGTTTCAATAATCAAATGCTTGGTTGCAAAAATACAACTATTTTCCCATTGCGGTTTCCTGTCACCTTTTTTCCCTCTCAAACAAAATTAAAGACCTATGCTTTACTGTGAATTAGTTATCAGCGGAGGAGAAAAAAAAATTGGTTATCATCCTACTTGTAAAAGGGTGAAACTAACACACCTATGCTTTGCTGCTGACATTGTGGTCTTTACAAATGGAGTCTGTCTTTAGATTGTCTGCCGTCTTGCAACACTTTTATCCGATGTCTGGTTTGCAATTGAATATTGCAAAGTCTGAAATATTTTCTGCAAAGAGGATTCAGATACGAACATCGCAGGAGAACAGGTTTTACAATGGGAAGTCTGCCTTTTAGGTACTTGGGAGTACCATTAATTTCTGGAAGCTCAAAGAGCCATTGTGAATCATTTACCCAGAAAATCTCTAGAAGGATCAATAGTTGAAAAGCAATAAAAATTATTTTCAAATGACTTTACCTCTTGCAGTATTCATGTAGCATACTAATATATACTGGAACTTTTTAAGTTTAAAATTTTTGATCTTATTATAACGTTATTGAATAATAATCATTAGACATACAAGAATTAATATAAATCATTAATTATTTTTTAATTATAAAAATAATTAATTACCTGTTAACTTGTTAACTTAATTTTAATTAACATTATTATGACTTTTTTTTTCTCTCTAGCTTTTTCTTTCTTTTATATTTTGTTTCTTCACCAATTTCTAGTTTTTTTATCAGCTTTTTCTTTTTTTTTTTTAGATTTTTTGGAATTCTATTTATTATCCTAAGCCCAAAAAATAATTTTAAATCGATAAATACATGTTAACATAAAAAAATAAGAATAATTATAAAATTAGTATTATTTGATATAAAATATGTTAGAAATATTGTAACATAAAAAAATAAGAATAATCATAAAATTAATATCATTTGACGTAAAATGTGTTTGAAATGTCGTAACACTTTAATAAAAAAGTTTTAATATTTTTAAACGTAAAAAAAGTTAACAATAAGTGTAAATAAATATTATTATAACATAAATAATTTAGTTGACAATGTAAAAAAATTATTATTACAAATAAAAAATAATTTTAAATAAAAAATAAAGGTTAATGTCAAACGATGAAAATAATCGTAAAATTAATATTTTCTTACATAAATGATTAGAAATATCATTACACTTTAGCAAAAAATTGTAATAATCTTAAATGTAATAAAAAGTAATAGCAAACGTAAAAAGATATTATTGAAATGCAATAAATTTGTAACATAAAAAATTAATATTATAAATAAAATATAATTCTAAATTGAAAAATAAATTTTAAAGTAAAAATGTTAAAATAATAGTAAAATCGGTATAATTTTATGTAAAATATGTTTGAAGTGTTGTAATATTTAAGAAAAAATTATGATTTTGAATATAATAAAAGGTAAGAACGAACGTAAAAAATTTTATTGTAATGTAAATAATTAAATTGATAACATAAAAAATTATTATTATAAATAAAAAAATTTTAAACTAAAAAATAAGTGTTAACGTAAAAAAGTGAGAATAATCGTAAAATTGATATAATTTAACATAAAATATATTAAAATTTTCGTAAGATAGAAAGATAAAAATAACCTTAAAATTGGTATAATTTAGCATAAAATGAGTTAAAAGTGTTGTAATATCTTAAAAAAAGAATTGTGATAATTCTAAACGTAATAAAATATAACAATAAGTGTAAAAAATATTATTATAACGTAAATAAATAACTTAACAACATAAAAGAATTATTATTATAAATATAAAATATTTTTAAACTAAAAAATAAATGTTCATGTAAAAGATGAGAATAATCGTAAAATTGATATCATTTCGCTTAAAATGAATTAGAAGTGTTGTAACACTTTAAAAAAATATTAAGATAATTTTAAACATAATAAAAAGTAAGAACAACAAAAAGTATTATTGTAATATCAATAATTAAGTTGACAACGTAAACAAATTATTATTATAAATAAAAATAATTTTGAACAAAAAAAAAAACAGTGTTAACATTAAAAAGTAAGAATAATTGTAAAATTAGTATCATTTGATGTAAAATAAGTTAGAACTATCATAACACTTTAAAAAAGAATTGTGATAATTCTAGACGTATGAAATGTAAGAACAAACGTAAAAAAATTTATTCTAACGTAAATAATTAAATTGTCAACATAAAAAAATTATTATTATAAATAAAAAAATTCAATAAAAAATAAGTGTTTATGTAAAAAAGTAAAAATAATCATAAAATTTGTATCGTTTGACATAAAAATGTATTAGAAGTGTTATTACACCTTAAAAAAATATTGTAATAATTTAAATGTAACAAAAGATAAAAACAAGTTGTTATAACGTAAATAATTAAATTGATAACATAAAAATTATTATTATAAATAAAAAATAATTCAAAAAAAAATAAGTATTAACGTAAAAAGTGAGAATAATCTTAAAATTAATACATTTGACGTAAAATATGTTAGAGCCATTGTAATGCTTTAAAAAAAATTATGATAATTTTAAACAAAACAAAAAGTAAGAACAAACATAATAAAAAATTAAAGTAAAGCAAATAATTAACTTAACAATGTAAAAGAATTGATATTTTTAAATTAAAAGATTTTAAATAAAAAATTATTAATTTAAAAAAGATGAGAATAATTGTAAGATTCACATCATTAGATGTAAAATGTATTTGAAATGTCTTATCTTCGAAAAAAATTTTAATAATTGTAAATGTAATGATAAGGAAAGCATAAAAATATATTATTAAACATAATTAATTAATTTAATTTCATAAAATAAATTGATATTCTATAATTAAAAAATATATCATTTTATTTATTAAATTAATAAATTAAAAAAATTATATATACTTTTTTTAATGTTTACCTATTAATCTATTCTTTCTTTTTTTTATTTTTTAAAAAAATTATATTATTTTTATAATTTATCATGATATATAATAAAATATCATGATATCTCATAATCTGATTTTAAGGTCAATATATATTACCATCTTACGCTAGACAAACCCTAATATCTAAACTTCTTTTTGGATTTAGAATGAAATTTGAATTATTAAAAAAAAGCAATGAAAATTATTTTTAAAACATTTAAAAACATGGTTTTTCTAGTTTTAAACTTCCTTCCAGTTAAATATAAATAAACGACGTCGTTTTTGTCGATAGTACCTGCAATTAGAACTCGTGGCACTGTTTCATTGGCTTAAAAGCTCTTTTTGGTTCGCTTGTCGTAGCGCATATTGCAAGAGCATCAAAATTTCGTCGTTTCGAAACCAATCCGTCCCCTTCAAGTTAAAGCCCAAAATTCTTCTCATTCTCTCGATCCTTCCTTCGTTTCTCTTCGCCATCATTTAATCATGGTGCTCGAGGTAAAGCAAAAACTCAATTCTCTTTTCTCCCACAAATTCTAGGGTTTTTAGTTTCCTCCAATTCAATTCTTTTGATCCTAATTTTTGTACACTCAACAGGCAACAATGATCTGTATTGATAATTCGGAGTGGATGCGAAACGGTGATTACTCTCCCTCTCGATTTCAAGCTCAAGCCGATGCTGTTAATCTTATTTGCGGAGCTAAAACTCAGGTAAAAAAAAAAAAAAAAAAAAAGAAAAAAAAAGAAAGCTTTTACTTCCTCTAGTTGAAACCGAAAGAAGTTTTTGAATTTATTAAAATGTGAGGTGTTTTTTCATTACACGTGCAATTTAGGGTTTAGTTGATTACAGGAAAAAGTTAGAGCCTTTATTGACCTGGGGAGGTTTTCATTTTACAGTCTAATCCAGAGAATACAGTGGGAGTTCTAACAATGGCAGGAAAAGGAGTTCGTGTGTTGGTCACACCTACCAGTGATCTTGGCAAAATCTTAGCTTGCATGCACGGTTCGTTTTTTAACTTGCTTTAGGCTTATATTTTAATTTCTTAACATTGTATCATCCTAGAAGATGCTAAATTGGAACTTTTGCTTATCCTGATTTAGGCTTAGAAATAGGTGGTGAAATGAACTTGGCAGCTGGAATTCAAGTGGCTCAGTTAGCGCTTAAGCATCGCCAAAATAAAAAGCAGCAGCAAAGGATTATTGTCTTTGCTGGAAGGTGTGTTTTTGTTATTGCTTTTCTCTGTTAATTGAGAAATGTTCTCTTTCTATGTTTTTGGTTGTAAAAATGTGTTATGATTGCTTGCAGTCCTATCAAACATGACAAGAAATCATTGGAGATGATTGGAAGGAAGTTGAAAAAGAATAGTGTTGCTCTTGATATTGTAAATTTTGGCGAAGATGATGAAGGGAAGATGGAAAAGCTGGAGGCACTTCTTGCTGCTGTTAACAATAATGATACCAGTCACATTGTTCATGTTTCTGCTGGTCCTAACGCTCTCTCTGATGTACTTATGAGGTTAGTGGCTCAGGTTGTTTTCTCATTTCTGCATCTTAATGTCTTGATAAATTGTGATTTTATTGCTGAAGCTGCATTTTTTTTGTCCATGGCAGTACCCCCATCTTCACAGGGGATGGGGAAGGTGGAAGTGGTTTTGCAGCTGCGGCAGCAGCAGCAGCTGCAGCTGGTGGCGTCTCTGGTTTTGAGTTTGGTGTGGATCCCAACCTTGATCCTGAATTGGCCCTTGCACTTAGAGTTTCAATGGAAGAGGAGAGGGCCAGGCAAGAAGCAGCTGCTAAAAAGGCTGCAGAGGAGGCATCTAAACAAGAAAAGGGTGGGGAAGAACAATCTAGCTCACAGGAAGCAACAATGACTGAACATGCAAGTGGGGGAACTTCAGAAGCTGATAATAAGAAAAATGATTTATCAGTAAGTATAATTAGCTTCCCCTTTAATTTTTCTTTTCTTTTTGTGATGTTTATGGTCTAAGTTAGATAGTTGGTGACCCCTTGTCAGATGTTTGTAAAAGGCTAGTATCATTTTTGTGTCTCATTGTTGCTTGGTTTGATAGGATAGCTGTGTCAAGCAGGATAATTGTTTCATAAAAAGATATGATTGGCCCTTACATATTCTTTCACGTTGAGACACAACTGACCTTGAGTTCGTTACAGGATGATGACAATGCTTTACTACAGCAGGCTCTTGCAATGTCTATGGATGAGCCTGCCTCTAGCCATGATTTACAGGATATGGAGATGCCAGATGTAGCTGCTGATGATCCAGAGCTGGCATTAGGTAAGTATGGCTGAGTCAATTTTATTGCTGCCAGCTAGAGAAGTAGCATCTGTAACAACTATTTCCTTTCTTTGTGAAGAAAAAGAAAACCAGTTATATAGGTGTTAGGAAATTTTCAATTTTTGTCATTTAACTGGTTGCAGTTGATGGTAAATGATGACCAAAGAGTTTCCTTGGGTCACTTAAGTTTTTGAACGATCCCTACAAGTAAAAAGTTCATAATATTTGTAGCATGCTATTCAAGATAAATCATCCTTAAAAATTACTTTTCTTTTGTCTCTGATGTAAGCATAGACCCTGGATATATCCAGATTATTTTTCTTCACGTTTGCTGATGTAATTTCCTATATTTGCAATTCTCACAGCTCTTCAATTATCTGTGCAAGACAGTACAAAAGATTCATCTAGTCAGACAGACATGAGTAAGTTGTTGGCAGACCAGTCCTTTGTTTCTTCCATCCTTGCATCGGTATGTCTGCTGCAGTTTAAGTTTATCTTTTTCCTCCTTACACGAGTTTTGTGTTAAGAAAATAAAGATCATTTAATGGTAAATAATTGCTTCTGCAGCTTCCTGGGGTAGATCCAAATGATCCTTCAGTTAAGGAGGTACTTGCTTCCATGCAAAGCCAGTCTGAGGTGAGCTCATCAAACTTAGAAAAATGATAAAATGATTTAGAAGGATTGCAATAGGTTTATAGTTTTTGGTGGTTCATGGTTGTTCTGAAGACTTGGAATTAAATCCTGTTTGAACTGGGATTGGAGTTTTAGGTGATAGGGTTTCCTGAATTGTGTAGGCTTACCACTGGATCCAAAAATAAGGTTTCAATATAATTTTCCGATCAAATGAGTTTTGTGACATAAACTTTTAGGTCTGAGATTTCTAATTTTTATATACAATATGTGCTTTCTATAACCATATTTGTTTTCAATGATATGTGATTATATTATGCTCATTTTTTAGTCCCAGCAGAAGCAGGATGAGGACAAGGCAACAGAGGAGGAGGAGAAGTGATGTTTCTTTGGATATCTTTTTCTTTCAGGTTGTACCATCTGATTTTGTGTAGCTCATGATACACTGACTGCCAATATATGCTAGAGTCGTCTAATTTACCAATCATCTTACTAACCTCTTGGGCAGTTCTAATGTTTAGTATGACTGATTCTTTTTTTTATTTTTTGGTTTCTTTAATTAGATCCATTGTGCAGATTTGGAAGCTCTTCATTGTGGCCACAAGATGGTTATTGATGGTTATTATTTGTTCCAAGGGCTTTGGGAGAGCTTCTTCTATTTTCATGTCAAAAATAGTAAACACTGAAATACATCTCCTTGATGTTTCCACTAGTTATACGTTATATATATTGTTCAAGAACAGATGGAGTATATTTTCATATATGGAAACCTATTTGCAATGAGATCCATCTTCTATTTTGACACGTTGCAAAGGAAATGACAATTTAAGTTAGTAATTCTTTTAGCTTGGAAGATTATTATGTTCATTTCTTTTAAGCTCCAACTGTCAAAATTTAGACACTGAACTTCACATCCTATTGCCATTTTTTGCCAAGAAAAATTGAGATTTATGATTCAAATACAAAATTGACCGAAGTTGTCTCCAAATTGAGAAAGTGACGTCGCTCTAGGTGCCAAACTAAAAGCGGTAGCAGAGGATGTTTTCCTTCCATTTCTTGTGAATGATTCACCTATGAAGATGATCTTCTGTCTCCTATTCAAGCGGCAAACAAATGTATCTGTTTAGGGATGTTAATAGATTGGATATAAGGTGAGTAAATAGTTTTTATTCTTATATTATATTTATTTTTGTACCCATCTCTAATAGATATTTTAAATTCATCCTCAATTCACTCTTATGCGTGTTTAATGGATATGAATAATACTTGTATTCATGATTTTTTAAAAAAATTAAAAAAATTTTTACCATTCTTAGTTTTATTTTGCACATTTAAAAAAACTTGTTATAAATATTTTTTTAAAAACAAATATATTAATTTTAATAAATCTAAAATAAAATTTATATTACTAAATAAAAGTTAATTTATCAAATAAATATATAAATATATATAGAGTACTGATATTTAAGGAGTGTTATATTAATTATTCTTGTGCATGAACCTGAAATAAAATTTAAAATCATATGTATTTTTATCTTCATCATAAAATTTAATATATACCCATTTTATTAAGGTAAAATATCAAAATTTTCATCAGATTAAATAAGTTTGACATTCCTATATGTATTTTATTCTAAAAATGCTGTAAAATGTTAGGAGAATGTGAAAAAAATTTGCCATGATCATGTTAAGTTTGAGTTCTACAGTAGGAATAAGATAAAGTTGAAGCCATCTAGGCATTCTACGATTCAACTCTAACTGCTTACCATCTTAGCCACTTCAGACTTCCAAGTTGGGACATGGAGTCTAGAATCCTATATTCGGGATCAGTTATTCTAACTCCATAGTCATACACAAATCACGTTGGCCAGTCAACAAATTCCCCAGCAAAAACTGAGACCTATTGTCGTTTTGTTTTTGTTTATCCTTAATCTTATCCTTGGTTTTGACTTTGGTGACTTCCATAAATTGAAAAAAACATAGCAATGTAATAATACTAGAGATAAAAGAGTAGAGACTTGGTCCATTGTGTTGCTGTTCAAAGCTTTACAGTTGATGGCGGCTACGTGAAATTGTAGAGGCAGACATTTTGAAAGCAAATTGAATATTCCTTTTTTTCCACATTCACGCGATGATGATCATTGGCTCCTTTCAGCTAAAATGCTGCTACACCTTATTTTCAACATTTTACTACACTCCGAATCTAGTTGAAAAATCCTTGCCAGATGCAAATCCGCAATTATTGTTTGATAATTGTCATAATTAAATTTAATTTTATTATTATAATAATTAATTTCATTTTCATAATTATTTTTAATTTTATTGAAACCAATTCCATGATTCATATAAATGAATCCTAGTTCAATTAGCAAAGATATTTGAGATTACTTTTATACATTTTATTTATGAACATAAATCAAATCAAAGTTCTTTTCCTTCTGTTGAAATAGAAATCTGCAAAAGAGCCTGACTAATGTAACCAAAAAAAAAAAAAAAGCCTGACAAAAATCCTTTTCTTCCTTAAATTCCATGATAGGCGTACCATGCCAAAATGCTGATGTAGGAGGACTCATAAAATTTAAGAGACTCCGATTTAAATTTAGCATAGGTGAGGAAAAAAATTAAAAAGATAAAAAATTAATTCAAAATTATAATTTTCAGTTTAATTTAAATTAATTTTTTTATTTGATTCAAATTAAATTCAAATTTTAAATATATATTAATTTTAAATCGATTTTAAATATAAAAAAAATCATATAGAATTGTATAATTTTATTAATTTATATATATTTTAAATTTTTATAAAATAAAAATAATTATTTTATATTAAATATATTTACATATATTAAAATTTTATTAAAATAATATATAAAAAACAAAAAAATTAAATTTTAAATTCGATAAATCTCCCAATTTCTGCCTGCCAGATCTGACTGTCCCATCCTTATTGTCTGGTAAACGTTTTCCACTACGATCAGTTTCAATAAGAAAAACAAATACTTACTTCTCAGTATTTACTATAAAAATGATCAGAAGTAATTTTAATTACAGTAAAATATTTGATTTGATATTTTAATTTAAAAATTTTTAATGTGATATTTAAATTATAAATTTATTTATTGTATAATATTTTAAAAATTATTTGTTTTATACAAATTATTACTTAAAAATAATCACATTAAAAATAAATATTATATTAATTAATAAATTCATAATTTAAATATCAAAATAAAAATTTTTTAAGTTGTTTCATCGACATTATTATAATTTAAGAATCCTCCTCAACATTAACCATAATTACTAGTATTTATGCTTCCACTCCACATTAATGCCTATTTCCTACCCTTGGATTCATATACCCAACAATCACACAGATATCCAACGGCCAGCACCTCACTGAATCATTTGCTTACTCTTCTGAGTTCTGAGTTCTGACCCACACCGACAGGGGCGTTAACCTCAGAATCCTTCATTCAAAATTTGCATATTTGAAACTTATCATTCAATGGAATAGTGAATTCTTTATAGAAAAATCTATTCAATCCCTTTAAAAACTCTGCTAAAAACTGTGTTTTGGTGGACCCGCCAACCAATCAACGCCAGAAAGAGTCATTTGTCCTTTTTTTTTTATTGCCATAAATGATTCTTGGTATTGACTGTTGGGGGTCTATGAATTGAACAATGACAGAATAATTGCTAGGTGAAAAGAAAATGAAAATGAGAAAACGTGAGAGTTGTTTAGCTTCAACTTTTGTTGTTCTTGTTGTTGTTTGCAGTTTGTATGTGAAAACAATCAAAGGAGAGTACGTGAAGTACAATACCGGAGCTGGGATTGCTCCTGGGAAACTGAACGTTCATTTGGTCCCACATTCGCATGATGATGTTGGCTGGTTGAAGACTATTGATCAGTACTATGTTGGATCAAACAACAGCATTCAGGTTGATTAATATTTTGGCTTTGACCATGTTAATTTTACAATTTTACTTATTATTATCAGTGATGGATCTACAGGGGGTTACCGTCTTTAGTTATGATTTTTGGTGATGTTTGATGTTTTTAAGTGGATTTTTTTTATCTGCAGGGTGCTTGTGTTCAGAATGTGCTGGATTCAGTTATTGAAGCATTGCTTCGTAACTCAAATAGGAAGTTTGTGTTTGCTGAGATGGTAAATAAATACAATTGATTACTATTGGATTTCCTTTTGCAGTAACTCTGATTATGTTTGTAAAGAAAAAAAAAGCTCTTATTTTAATTTTGATCTTTGAAATTTTAATAATTTGTGTATTTGTTCTTTAAGAACTTCCTGTTGGGTTCTTTGAATACATGAAATAAGCTTAATTAGAAGTTTGACAGGTTTTGTTTCCTGTTAGAAGAACAATTTTATGATAGTAACTATTCATCTAATTCTAACTTGCCAGTCTAATTATAAGTTTGATATGAATTGTAGGCCTTTTTCCAAAGATGGTGGACAGAACAAAGTCTGGAAATACAAGAACAAGTCAAAAAACTTGTAGATGCTGGCCGATTGGAATTCATGTATGTTGACTACCAAGCAACTTGAAACTTGGAATTTCGATTATTGCATATGTATGTAACCTGCCTTTTGAGATTTATCTGCAGTAATGGTGGTTGGTGTATGCATGATGAAGCCACAGCCCATTATATAGACATGATTGATCAAACAACTTTAGGTCATCGTGTAATAAAGGAGCAATTCAACAAGGTTCCTCGTGTTGGATGGCAAATTGATCCTTTTGGTCATTCTGCTGTGCAAGGTTACCTATTTGGTGCTGAGGTGCATAATTCAATCAGTTTGTTGATCAATTCATTCCTTTTTCAGGATAATTACAATATTCATGAACAAAGCTTAACCAACTTCTTGTTTCCACTTATTTAATATGAAGAAATGACACATTTTGGTTGATTACATTGTTCCTGCAGCTAGGTTTTGATTCAATGCACTTTGCAAGAGTAGATTATCAGGATAGAGCACAAAGGAAGAATGACAAAACTCTGGAGGTTATATGGCGTGGGTCCAAAACTTTTGGTTCTTCAGCCCAGGTTTGAAATTGAAAATCCTGCAATTTTAACCTTTTCTTGCTGTTAGGAGTTTGTTTGTATTAACCTTTTACTTGTTGGGCTCCCTGCAGATTTTTGCCAATGCTTTTCCTGTTCATTATAGTCCTCCTAATGGTTTTGAATTCGAAGTGGATGATGACGGTGTGCCTGTCCAGGTTCTAATTTTTAACAAGAGTCATGTTATCTATATATTGGCTGTTGTTGACAATAAGTGTTCATCATGTATTACTTTCTATGACTGCAGGATAATCCTCTTCTATTTGATTACAATGTTGAACAGCGGGTTAATGATTTTATTAATGCTGCGATGACCCAAGTAAACTGTTTTATCTTTTTTCCATTTGTTGCTTCTGGAGTTGGGGGCTTAACTATTAGAATCATGTTGCCTTATGGCTTCTAAATGGTGTACTTTTTTAGCATTTTCTGCAGTGTGAGGTGAACCATGCATAAGCATGCATGTGTATGACAGTTAATTTTCCCTCCAATCTGTCCAGGCAAATGTGACTAGGACAAACCATATCATGTGGACAATGGGAGATGATTTCCAGTACCAATTTGCTGAGTCCTGGTTCAGGCAGATGGACAAATTAATTCACTATGTTAACAAGGTAGTTCAAATGACAAAATCAATTTAAACACTGGATTTTCTGAGCTTGAACTTACCCTTGATGCACAATAGGTTGGTGATGTGTTCAGGGAAAATCCATTAATATTGTATCAAACTGTATATACTTGTTTATGTTATGATGCACTACTCCTTGATTTTTATGGTCATGTAATTAAGTTTAAATAGCTAAAGAAACCTGTGACTGCAGACACAAAATTTGGTTTGATTTTCCACTTTGTCTGCCTCTTTGTATCTCATTATTATTTGTGCTTAATTTTCCCAGGATGGCCGAGTGAATGCCTTGTATTCTACACCATCCATCTATACTGATGCAAAAAATGCTGCAAATGAATCATGGCCACGTAAAACTGATGACTATTTTCCGTAAGCAATACATGTTCTTGTCCTTGTCATTATTCTCATCCTCCTTTGGTTTAACCCTTTTTCTTTTCCGGTTCACTAACTTAGACTAATGTGCACATATGCTTGTCTGATGATTCTTGACAGTTATGCAGACAGCCAAAATGCTTATTGGACTGGATATTTCACAAGTCGGCCAGCCTTGAAAAGATTTGTTCGGATGCTTAGTGGATATTATTTGGTATGACATCAAAATCACTCCTATTTCTTGGGCAGATGTTGAACTAGAACGAGATAACAAGGAACTTTTTTGCTAAATAGACTGCATTTGCTTGATGAAGGTTTTGTCTCTACCCAGAACCTTCCTTGAGACTCAACTATTCTGTTTGCTTTTTATTCAAAACTTCCCTTCCGGTTTTTGTTGCCACAAATTTGCTGGATCAAGACCTTTGTATATGAGTTGTCATAAGCTTTGCCATATGGATACAAAGCAGTCGACTCTGGGATGGAGCCTCGTGCATGTTGATAATGGTAAATTTGAACTGATTTTTCCTATATTTTAAATAGGCAGCAAGACAACTTGAATTCTTGGTGGGAAAGAGATCAAATGGTCCCAATACTTTCGGTTTGGGAGATGCTCTAGGTATTGTACAGCACCATGATGCCATCACTGGTACTGCCAAACAGCATACAACAAATGACTACTCAAAACGCCTTTCGATAGGAGTCACTGAGGTTGGCAGATAACTTCCCCCTTAGTTTGAACCTCTTGGTTTGTTTTCATAGCTTGCAATATGATTTTTCATGTATCTCGGATTTCTATTTTTGACCTTTAAAACTGAACAACTTACATCACAGGCTGAAGCTGTTGTATCTACTGCTCTCTCATGCCTAACTAAGAAAAATTCTGGACCTAAATGCGAAGAATCTGCATTGACATTTAGCCAGGTAAGGCATTAAGACGTGTTAATGTCTCCTTATCTGGATTGATGAGACGGTTCCCTGTATTTCACATATTCAAGGTTTTTATTTTTTCCAAAGTTCATTATCTTTTTTCATCATGATTCATGGATTTCATCCGGTAAAAGAGCCTATACATTTGCTGCAATTTTACTTTAAAAATTAGTTTCCTTTCTTGGCCTAACACTGCTACTTTCCACCATTTCTAACAGTGCCAATTAGTCAACATCAGTTACTGTCCACCAACAGAGAAGGATACTCCCGAAGGGAAGAGCTTGGTAATTTTTGTGCATTTTTCTAGTTTTGTTTTCAATAATGCATTGTTGAGATTTGATTCACTTTTGATCCAAACAAATGTTAAAGGAAATGTCATTCACCTTTTGTAAATGGTCACCTTCAGGTGGTGGTGGCATATAATCCTCTTGCATGGAATCGTACTGAAACTATTAGAATACCAGTAAGTAAATTTTGATGTTCTCTTCATGGAATTTTAGTTCAAATAATGTCTCTATAAGACAAAGTTTGTGCAATGATCATGAGCTCAGTACATAAGAAAGATTTAATGAGCTTTTCCAGGAAAGGAAGTTACCTGATTTCAGAAAATAGGATGGATAATTGATTGAAAGCATTAAGTTGGATTTATAAACAGTTGGTGAAGTCCAACTAGTTCTCTGCACTTTAGTAAGACTACAGCTATGTTCTGGTTTCTGTTAATTTAGTATAGTGGTGTAACTTTTGTGTCCTGTCTAGAACCCCAGGGGTAACATTAATAAGAATTATTACCTCCACCCCCCCGAAATCTGATATGGCAGTGATACCATTTACAGGTTAATCATGCCGATCGTGTTGTCCAAGATTCCTCTGGAAATAACATCGACACACAATATTTAGATTTGGATAATGTTACAAGAAATGTAAGGGACTTTTATACAAAGGCTTACTTGGGACTGTCATCGGATATGGTTCCTAAGTACTGGCTACTTTTTCAAGCATCTGTACCACCACTTGGTTGGAATACTTACTTCATTTCTAAGGGAGCTATGGGTAGGTGTTTCATTTCTTTTACATCCAGCACTTGACTGTTGTTGAAGTTTATTTAAGTTAAAACCAATTCTAAACTCTTGAGGCCAATATGCAAATAGGAAAATCCTGTTATGGGAAGTTTATTATCTTACTTGATCTGATCTAGCTTTTTATTACAATGGTGTAGGACGAGGCAGAGTCGGAATTATCTCAGCAACAACCACTCCAGAAAATGAGAAATTTGAAATCGGAAATGGAAATCTAAAGATGTCTTTTTCTACAAGTTCTGGACAACTCCAACGAATGTATAATTCTAGAACAGGAGTAAGTTGTTACCAATTTCCAGACATTCATCATGAGATTTAAATCTCTTGTTCTGTTGCCAGTTGGTTATACATGATCTGCAGTGGAGTAAGTTACAACTACACAACTTTTCTTATTGATCAAAGCCATCAGTTGAAAGTGCAGTCTACATTTGTCCTTTTTTTTTTTTTCTTCCCTCTTTGTTCTTCTCTGCTCTTATTTTTATTTAATAGCAGGCCTACCATTAAATATTGGCATAGATGTTAAAGAAGTTAAATACCTCTTCAGCCATAGGTTTCCATTTGGTTATATTTTAATTGTCTGAATGCCTGTTCAATTACTTACTGGTAAACACTTTCAATTTCCCATTTTACCAGGTTGATGTACCAGTGCAGCAAAGCTACCTCTGGTATGGTTCAAGCACTGGTGATGCTGATCCCCAGGTAAGCAATCAATGCGCTTGGATTTCAAACATAAGAGTTCAAGCTGAGGTGGTGAGAGCCTGCTGAAAGCCAGTTTTACAATGATGATGATTCTTACAGGCATCTGGTGCATATATATTCCGGCCTAATGGGGCACCTCCAACTGTTGTTTCAAGATCAGTAAGCCTCTTATTGAACATTGTCAAAACAGCATTGTGATAAGTTTATTCCATTGTGCACTATCCCTTACATGCTATTAATGGAGTGGCGTAGAATTTTGGAACTTAAATTTATTTTCTTAAAAATATTATGTTTGATCTTCAGGTGCCCTTAAAGGTCATTCGTGGACCCCTAGTTGATGAGGTACACCAACAGTTTAATGAATGGATCTACCAGGTGATCATTTTTCTGAGTTCACTGCAGAGATTCAGGACACATTTTTAAACTGCAGAAACTTATTAAAGAGATTCTTAGTATTTTTTAAAGTAATTTCTCTGCCAAATAGTTGTTTATGACACGTTATTAGCCCTTAACTATATATTCTTTTAAAGTTCATGCTTCCCTCTTCCCACAAAATTCTTAATTGCTAATTTTTCTACTTATGTTCATTCATTAGGTCACCAGACTTTACAAAGACAAAGAGCACGCTGAAATCGAGTTCACTGTGAGGCACATCACTCTGGTTTAAACCTTATTTATCTGTTCTTTTTGAGATAATATCCTCTATGACCCCCGAACTATTGGAAAATATTTACTGTAGTACTTGAATTAAAAAAACATATAATCAGGTACCTCAACTTCCAATCTGTGTATTATCTAAAGTACAATAGTGTCATTTCTCATGATTCTTGCCGAGTGTTTCTGACAATTTTGTATTTTGAAGATTGGTCCAATTCCCTTGGATGATGGTGTTGGAAAAGAGGTTATTACTCGGATGACAGCAAATATGGTTACAGACAAGGTGTTTTATACTGATTCTAATGGGAGAGACTTTCTAAAGCGGGTAACTTCCGAAACATTCCTTCTCTCCGAGTATCTGATATTAGTCTTTACTGACAGAACATGAAGTTGTATTAGTTTCAACGACATGCTAGCTAGCTTAGCACAGGCGACATATATCATCTATCATCTATATATGAATGTATGAACTTTAAAAGTGTTAACAGTGATTAATTTAAATATTTTTCTAAATTTTTAAATTAATAAATTTATCTTTAAATATATAACTTTTATTAATTTATTTAAGTTTAATTTAAATCAATTAAAATTAAAATTAGTATTTATTTGAAATTAAAACTATTTAAAATTTTGAAAATTTAATTCTAAAAGTGTTAAAAGTGATTGATTAAAATATTTTTAATAAATCTTTTTATAAATTTTAATTTAAATGAAATTTTTTTATTGTCAGTTTTTTTTTTTTATAATTAGACAAAAAATATTAAAAGTAATTGATTCAAATATCTTTAATAAAATTTTAATTCCAAAAATGTTAAAAATAATTGGTTAAAATACCATTAGTAATTTTTTTTTATAAATTTTAATTTAAATGACTTTTTTTATTATTGGACTTTTTTTTAATTAAAATGATTTTTTGCATCAAATGAAAATACAAATAGAACGGGATAAAAGTTGAATATGCATAAGAATAAAAAAATTATATGAAATTTATTTCTTTAATTATTATAAAGACAATTGTATATGTAGTTTATGTTGATAAATAAATCTATTGAAGATAATCATAATTAAGTCATTTAAGCATAATTTTTTCTTTTTTTTAACATTCAATTTTTTTGTTTTAATATATTAACTAAATATGTATGTTAATAATTTTATTATTTATATGTTTCATGAGTTGATCATTTGATAATTGATAACTTAATAAAATTTTTTGCCCCTTAAAATATTTTTTAATATATCATTTTTATAGTTTAGTCTAACATTTATAATTAATTTCTCTATTGTATTTTTTTCTCTAAAATTTTATAGTTGTTTATGAACAAAAATCACTAATCAAATGCAAATTAATTGTGCCCCTCTACCAATAATTAGCACACCTTCTACCAATAATTAGCACAATATGATTTATTGAATATTTTAATTGAATTTTTCACTTGTAAAATTAGATGATTTATAAGGTAATGGAACTACAGTAATTTAGGATTGGGTTTTATCAAATTGCCATATGAATTGTTTACGTTGATTGAAATAATAATTAATTTAATTTTCTCTCAATTTTTATTTTAATATACATGAAAATTTATATTGTTAATGCTAAAAAATGAAATCATTATAAATTATATAGGTATTACATAATAAATTTGTTATTCTTAGAATTAAAATTATTTTAAGAAAATATGACAAATACCAAGATTAGGAATTTATTTCACTTTATTTTATTATTCAAAATTATATATTTTAATATTTTATATAATAAAACTTTATGTATAATAAAATTTTGTAAATAAAAGAAAATTTAAACTTTCGATTGATAGAACGTACAATTATATTTAATTTATAGAAGCACCAATGGAAGATTATCTTAAACAAAAAAAAAATGAGACGAAAGATTGATTGGTTATATATAACTCTAGTTTTTTCATATGACAAAGAAGGTTAGTACTATATGATGTTTCCATGAAAAATATACAATTTCAATTTTTTTAAGATTAACATGAAACTTTTTTATTCAAGAGAATATTGTATACTCCTTCATTTTTTCTTTTATGTTAGTTGAAGAATTTCACCGTTTTATCAAAAATTTTAATATTGCTATATAAATAATATTTGCTTAAAAGAATTGAAGTTCATCAAATTAATTATCACTGTCACATTTAATATAAAAATATTATTATCAGTTATAATTTAACTAAATTTAAAATTGAATTAAGAACATTCATTAGCAAAATTCATTTGATAATTTTTTATTTAATTATATATTTAATATTTTAATCATTTTAAAATTTGACTTTTCATAATTTTGAATTGGATTTTAAACATAAGATCAACGATCAATTAACTTAAGTTTTATTATGTACTACTATTCATGGAGTACTCAATTATTCACTTATGCAATTAAGAAAATTTAACTCAATAATTGGTGCATGCTTTTTTTTTGTGTTTAAAAAGTTAGATTTAAATTGTCCTAAACTCAAATTTTAAAAAAGAAGTACAATCAATTACTTATAATTATAATTTCACTTTAAAAATGCTCTTCAAATTTATTAATTAATTCAACCCCAAAAACAATAAGAATATGACATTAAAGATGAAAGGAAAAAACTTAAATAAAGAACTTTTAAATTGTTACGAATATAAATAAAAAATATTAGATTTTGATTAGATTACTATTTTAATTTGGATTTTGGTTATGTTTAATTATTTCAAGCTTTAAATAACTACAAAGGATCCATTTTGATGGATGATGAAATTAGCTTCAATGAGATTGAAACAATAGTGGAAATGAAATTAGTTATTGTAGTGGTGAGATTAAAATTAGTGTTGGGATATGTATTTGAATGCAAAAGCAGGGGTGACGGTGAGATAAATTTTAATGAGAAAAGAAAATGATTAGTATAGATATTAGATTAATTTTATATTAAATAAAAAATTTAAATTATTTAACATTTATAAAACTATTAAATAATTAAAATTTTATTAAACTCTCTCTGTACTCCGTAAGAACTATAAGATCACTTTAGAGAGCCTTTGATATCCAAAGGTCGTGAACTAATTGTGAAACCCTATTCAATAAGTGAAATGCATTAGCTATCTGCTCTTAGGTTACGCAATAAGGGTCAAAGAAGGGCAATAACTAATTCTTAAAACCAACATTCTTAAGACCAAAAAGTCAAAGAGGGGAAAGTTTTTCGTTCCTGGTTCTCATGTAATTGGATCCTCCGAAACCTTTAAGAATCTATAGTTAGAATAGGATTCAACTTAGCACTTTTTGAGATTTTGAAAAGAGTTGTTCTTTGAAGAGCACAATATGATGAAAATTATTACTCATTCTAAGAGATATGTCATGTTAGATCTAGGGCATCCCAATTCAATTGAATGGGATGATAGTTTTTCATTCCTTATCTATAAAATCATAATTTTGATCAAATCACATATCGTAATATACTAGACCATCTAATTCTTTAAAAGGTTTATCTAAAAGATTGACGATATAACTATAATGATGTTTCAAATAACATCTATGAGTTATTGGACATGTTAGTTTTATGTGTCCTATTTGATATCTTCATATCCAAGAATCAATAAATTTAACTCTGCATTGTTCATAAAATTTAAGGTCCTACTTTTTATTTTTATGTTAAATAATAATTTTATTAATAAATAATTAAAAATTAATAAAAATAATAGTAATATATCGAATAATATTTTTATTTTTATTATTTATGGAGTTACCTATTTTTTAGTAAAAATAATAATAAAATTTATTTATTTATTTATTTATTATATTATATCAAATATAAATAAAATTACTTCACAATTTTTAAATAAAAAATCTTAATAGAAAAAAATACAAATGTTAAGTTTTTTAGTGAATAGAAACACATTTCAAGGCAATAAAAAGAATGAACAAAATTTTTTTGGAGTAAAAGGTTCAGATTGGACATAGGTGGTCCACTTGACCCTAATAGGTGGTCTATATTAATTTAATTGTACTTTTATGATTCTGATAATAAATTGCAAAAAGAATAAGGACACCATATAATGAAAATTCAAATGCAAAAGTAATTATTAGTAATAATTTTAGAAAAAAATCCTTATGTCTACGTCTTGTAAAGATTAAAAGATAAATTTTGAAATTTGTATTGCAAAAATATTAATATAAATCAATGAGTTTATAATTATTTATTTGTTGATTAAGTTGCTACTATATGGGTTGAGGGAAACAATTCAAACGTTTTATTTGAAAGAGGTATTATAATTCATACTCATACAGGAAAACAATATAAAGTTAAATATTATTTAATTGTTATGACCTTTTACAATATTTTTTACTATTTCCAAATGAAGAATTTGATTGATATTAAAATACAAAAAAAAAAAATTGAATGATAGTAATAAGAATAAAATAATAATTAAAAATATACTATTTTTTTATTTAGTAGAAGAATTTTTTTAGGGAGAATGAGAATGTAATTATTGTAAATTTAATATTTTTAAAATTATTGTTTGTTTAATTTTTATAAATTTTATTTAGTAAATTTGTTCTCATTACTTTTATCATATATATATAATATAATTTTTAATCGAAATTATATACTAAAAGATGAAAATATTAGGTAAAATTTATTATTTTCATGGATTGTCAAAATATTTCAAAATTTTCAGTCTTTTTATATGCAATTATCTTGCACTACTAAGTATGAAAACACATACGCTAATAATTTAATCAAATCATCAATAAAACTTATCTTAATACGTGTTATTTTTTTATGAACTTAAAATTATAAAGAATATTTTTAAAATGTTGACTTAATAAATATTGTATATATTTAATTTAGTTTTAATACTTGCATTAGTATAAAAGTTATAATTTTAATTTATTTTTACATGTTAAACTATTGATAGTAAAAAAAGTATTTACTCATACTTTTCAAGTAATTTACACTTGAACTTTTTTTTTTCTTTCTTTCTTTACATCATTTAATAGACATTGTAATTGTTTTCTTTTTTGGTTATATACAAATTAATGAAAACATAATAGTAGATAATTAATAACTTAGTAATTAATTATTGAAAACTTAAATGTAATTAGTATAACTTAGTAGTCATAATCAATAATTTAGTAAAAAATTAGTAATAACTTAATATTAAATGAATGATAATTTAGTAATTAATAATTGATAACTTTTTAGTAAATCAGTAATAATATAATAATAAATATATAATACGTAAATCAATTATAATATAATTGTAAATGCATAACAATATAGAACTAAATCAAGGATAACTTAACAAAAAATAAATTATAATTTGGTAGTTCATTATTGATAACTTAGTATTAAATCAATGATAACTTAATAGTAAATTAATGATAATTTAATAGTAAATCAATTTTAGTTTAATAGTAATTAATTGATAGTAGTAAATCATAAATAACTTAGTAGCAAGTCAATTATAAATTAATAGTAAATAATTAAAATTTTAATAATTAATCATTAAAAACTTAAAAATAAATCAGTATAATTTAATAGTAACTCATTAATAACATAATAATTAACCAATGATAACTTAATAGTAAATCATGCATAATTTAATATAAATCAGTAATAATTTGGTAGTGACTTATAGATAATTTAATAGTAAATCAGTGATAATTTTATAATAAGTAATTGAAAATTAAGTACTAAATCAATGATTAAATAATAGTAAATACATAACAATATAATAGTAGATCATTTATAATTTAGTAGTAAATTGATAACTTAATAGTAAATTACTAATAACATAATGATAAATTAATAATAATTTAGTTGTAGATTAGTGATAATTTAGTAGTAAATTAGTTGATTATTGATAACTTTTTAGTAATATCAGTAAATTAGTAGTAAATCAGTTATAATTTTATAATAAATTATTATTAACTTAGTGATAAATTACCAATAATTTAATGGTAAATCATTTATAATTTAATGATAAATTATGCATAAATTAGTAGTAAATAATTGATAATTTTATTGTAAATAATTTATATCTTAATAGTAAATAATTAATAACTTAATTGTCAATCATTAATAACTTTTCTTATACTTGAAATTGCTAGGATTGAACCTTAATTATTAGCAAAAACGAAGTCAAAACTTTTACTTTGAGAGTTAGGATAAACCTAGCATGAATTTATTTAATAAAAATTAATGAAAAAAAATCTAAAATTGAATAAAATAATGATGTTATTATATAAAAAGAAAATTACTTAATATATTATTAGTGGATTTTTAATAATTGTAAATACATAACAACATATTAGTGATCAATGATATGATAGTAGAAAGTAAGTGATAACTTAATAGGTAATAATTGATAATTTAATAATAAAACCAATGATAACTTAATAATAGTAATAATTTAATAGTAAGTTAATTTCAATTTAATAGTAATGAAATTGATAAACATTATAGTAAATGATACTCCCTCTGTCTCATTTTTTTGTCCATATTTTCTTTTTGGAATGTCCCAAAATTAGATCCTATTTCCTTTTTGAACATTTAAAACACTTACTTTTTTATATTTTAAAATTATTTTTTATGATTTTTTTAGTTTATATTTATGATACACTGTCAGTATATAGATTCTATATAATGTTAGTGAATTAAATAATGCCAACTCATTAATGAGCAAATATTAATCCTTAAAATAAATGTATACAAATTCAAATAATTTACTTATTAATGAGGTATTATTATCTGATTTGCCTTATTAATGAGTTATCATTATCTGATTCACCGATAATGTATAAAATTTATACACTGACAATGTATCAAATATAAACTCTCTCTTTCTTTTTCTTTTTTTAAAAATTTTTTGACATTAAAAATAATGAAATTTTAATTTTATAAAAAAAATTTTAATTTTAATATTAAATGCATTAAAGTCAAAGATTTTTTCTTAAATTTCATGAAAGTCAATATAAGACAAACAAATAAGTACGGAGGGAGTAAATAAATTTAATAGTAAATCAATGATAATTTAATAGTTAATAATTCGAAGCTTAAAAATAAATCAATATAACTTAGTAGTAGTTAATCAATGATAACTTAATGGTAAATTATGAATAAATAAGTGATAAATTGATAATGAATTGTGGTTAATTTAATAATAAATCTATGATAATTTTGTAGTAAATAATCAAAATTAAATAATAAATCAATAGTAACATAATTATAAATGCATTGTAAATACATAATAACATAATAGTAAATTATTGATAATTTAGATGTAAATTATTAATAACTTAGTAATAAATCACTAATAACTTAGTTGTAAATAAATAATAATTTAGTAGTAAATTGATTGATCATTGATAATTTTGTAATAAATCATTAATAAATTAATAAAAAATTCAATTATAACGTTATAACAAATCGCCGGTAACTTAGTAGTAAATTATTAATAATCTAATAGTAAATTAATCATGACTTAGTAGTAAATTATTCAAAAATTAGTAGTAAATCAATACTAATTAAATAATAAATCATTGATCATTTAGAAGTATATCATTATTAGTTTAGTAACAAATCGTTGATAACATAACAATAAATCAGTAATAACTTAATAGATAATTATTGATAAAAATTTTTATACTTGAAATTATCATAATTGAACCTTGGTTATTGATAGAAAATGAGTTAGAAATTACATCTTGGGAGGTTAGGAGAAATTTACTATAAATCTATTCAATAAAGAAAATTTAGTGAAAAAATTTTAAATTTGAATAAAATAATAATATTATTGTATAAAAAGAAAATTATTTTATATTAAAGCTGAATTCGCACTTTCTTACAAATATCCATAATTAAATATATGATGATATAAATTTTATCAATAATTACTATAAATATATCATAAATTACCAAAAAATTACTAAAATTACATCAAGATATTACTAAAATTTTATCAAAACTTATCAAAATTATATCAATGGTTACGAAAATTATATCGTAAGTTATTAAAAATATATCAAAAATTACCAAACTTTTATTAAAGATTTTCAAATTTAAAATTAAATAAAAAGTTATCAAATTTTACTTATATTATATCAAAATCAAAACTAAATTATTAGTATTTATCATTATTATCATAATATAAAAATTTATTTATTAAAATGAATTTTTAAATAAAAATTTCATGTGCACGCACGTGCCAAATACTAATATATATATATATATATATTATATATCTATCTCAACTCATCATAATGATCTCGCATAACTTGTGCTTTTCCATGAGATTTTATCCAACAAAAAATGTACAACAGACTACCTAATAGTGGGTTGTTATCATATTTTCTTATTTTAAAAGTCTAAATACAAAAAATTCTCTTCTTAAATATTGCTGCAAATTCCTTTTCTTACATTTTTAGGTTTCTAACTGCATTATGGCTATAAATTTGAACTGATTCACATGCATTGAATGGCAGATTTTGATATTTGATTTTGAGGAAGCCATTTAATATTATATTTTATGTTATTCTTTCATAAGATTTATCATATATATATATATATATATAAATAGAAGCAAAATACATGAAATTAATATATATTTATATATATTTTACACTTCCCTTGTTGCTTAATAAAAAATGCATAAAACGAAACTATGAACAAATAAATAGATAAAACTGATAATTTTAATTTAGAAGAGATCACTTTAAATTTATTTAATATATATTTATATATATTAAGAATTGTCAAAACTTGAAGGGCCAAAGCCTCCTTATGCTTCTACAACAGTCCACCACTGTATATGCATACTAAGAGTTGTCAAAGCTTGTGGGGGCGAAGGCCCCCTCATGCAACAACGACGGTCCGCCTCTGCATTCACTGCATATGGCTATTATAGTGCCAACCTGAAACGTATGATCATGGTTTTTTTTTTTTTCAGGTTCGAGACTTCAGAGAAGATTGGAACCTTACAGTTACTCAACCTGTAGCGGGAAATTATTATCCAGTAATTTTCTGAATCCTAGTTTATCTGACCGTACTGAAATAGATATAAGTCAAAACTCACGTTGATTACTTAGCTTGAGGCTTCGCCATCTGGCCAACATCTATGCAAAATATTCATTGCTATCAGCTATGAGTGTCAGTTAAATGTAAGGCAGCTTGAGCTTAGTTTAGATCTTCACTTTTTACTTTTCAGTACTTCATAGAGAAGTTCAAGAACACCTTGTGCTAAGAGTCAATAGCATTTTACAGCATCATTTAACTGCAATTATTTACCATCTCTGGTTATCTTTATAGGTTTTCATGGTATGGACTGAGATGGTTCAGGCATTTCTTTTCGTTGTAAAATATTGATGCCTTGAAATAATACTCCTATACTGATTGTGTGAAATCAATATTTGTCTAACTTTTCCAGATTAACCTTGGAATTTATACTATGGATAAGAAATCTGAATTCTCTGTATTGGTTGATCGCGCCACCGGAGGATCAAGCATTAAAGATGGAGAAGTAGAATTAATGCTTCACAGGTTTCCTTCACTTTCTGCTTTTAAACATTCACACAGGGCTAATATATGCCTTATAATGTAGACTAATGTATTGATATTGACCTGATAAACTCTCTTTTCTAATGCACTAGACGGATGCTCAAGGATGATTCCAGAGGAGTGGGTGAAGCCCTTGATGAAAGCATGTGTGTAGGAAGCAAATGCGAGGGACTGACGGTACATTCTGTCATTACAACAGTATTTTATTCCATATTCATTCAAATAATCTACTGGAATTGTGCCATGTTTTCCATCTTGATCAATAGTGGATAAAATTTCGAAATGTTGCATTATTATCATATAGAACTTCTGAAACTCAAAATGTTTCACATGTACCTTCTATATTGTTCATTCATCTACTCAAGCCCTATGCTGCAAACCTGAAATAATTTATTTGGATGATTTTGGCTCAGATTCGAGGGAATTACTATGTTAGCATCAACCAGATAGGGGAAGGTGCCCGTTGGCGTCGAACAACTGGTCAACAAGTTTACTCACGTCTTCTTTTAGCTTTCACACATGAGGTACATATCCACTTGATTGACTGTGCCATAAAAATTTGTTCATCATAACTGTATGAAATGATCGATCATTCAGAAAATAGAGACCTGGACGGCATCTCATTTGACAAAAGCAACTGCCATGGATCCAGGGTACAGCTTGCCGCTCAATGTCGCTTTAATTACTCTTCAGGTGATAGTTTTAACTTTAACCCATTTTTTAACATTTAATTTTTCTACTTAAAATATCCTCTAAAATAGTAGTTTTGCAGGAAATGGATGATGGAAGTGTTCTTCTCCGTTTGGCACATCTGTATGAAGTAAGTGACTCCACATCCTAAGCTGCACCTGAAATTTCCATTAAACCACATCTTCTGCTCAATGGGGTTTAATCACAGCCTAGTCATTTGGAAAACTACTAAAAATACACCAACATGGTTGTTTCTTGGATTATAAAAATTTTGACTTGTGATTCTTGTGAATGTTTTTCTCAGGTGGGTGAAGATGCTACCTATTCAACTCTAGCTAAAGTTGAACTAAAGAAGATGTTCAATGGAAGAATGGTACGTATAGCTTTTAATTTATTTGTTTCAAAGAAAGGCTAGCCATTTGCAACTAGCATTAAGCCGCCTTTTGGTGTTGATTGGTGTTACTTTTTTCAGATAAAGGAAGTGAAAGAAACGAGCTTGACAACAAACCAAGTGAAGTCAGAGATGAGGAAATTGTCATGGAAAGTAGAAGGCGACAATGGAAATGAACCCTCCCCTGTTAGAGGAGGCCCTATTAATACTTCAACTCTTGTCGTCGAGCTTGGTCCCATGGAGATCCGCACTTTCCTGTTGATCTTTTAATCAATTTTTTACTAAACTAAGAAATAAACGTAATATTATCCCTTTCTTTATCAATTTGAGTTTGATTTTTATGAGAAATATTTTCAATGTAAAATCCAGAATATATAAATTGAAGTAAGAGAATAGATACTTTGATCATTCATCCTAAAAGAAATTATATCAAACAAAATCTGGAAATACCGACTGTCTTATAAAAAAAGAATGTAATATATTTTCTCTATATTTGGTAATTGGGTTAGTTCGGCCCATCAATCTTTTAATTTTAAAACGGTGCTGATAATGTCATTCTGCCCAGCTTAAATCTAGCTCGGTAAATAAAAATACAAATAGAAAGATAAAATAATAAATCTTGCACGGTTGCATGCTAACGCGGGAATATCCCTGACAGCTTAACTGTTAAAACAACCAATCCGCGACTGCCACGCATCTTATGTCCTCTCACCCTCTCCGTCTTCCATAATTCTCGCTCCCCAAAGGAAGGACCCTTCTTTTTTTCTATTCTTGTTAAAAAAAAAACACCCTCTCACCCTCTCATTTTCCCATTTCCCAGACAGAAGAAAATGGCTTCTCAGAACCCTAATCAGACTAGCTCCCTTTACCCGGAGGTGAAATCAAACCCCGATATCCGGCAACACTCGTCTTGTTCCAATAAACTTTACCCTTCCATCGACATGCGCGATCTCGTCGAGAATCATTTTCCGGACTTTCCCCAATATCCGTAAACGGGCATAGCGACCACTCAGATTCTCCTCATGCGCCAATGGCACCACCGGAAGCTGTCGAGGAAGTTTGAATCAGGATCCCTGGCGCCATCCTCAACTTGATCCATAAATCTTATAGCGTCGAGCTCGCTTGCGGCGATTTCACCGTGATTCGTCTCTGGCGGGTGAAAACATCGTCGCTGTACTCGTGCGCGTCCCTGACGAAATCCAGTGGCCGTTAATGAAAGACGGAACCGCCGTTAAACTTGACGATTCTCATTATTTCTTCTCTCTTCAGTTACCTAAGGAAGCCGAAAACGATTCGAGTGACAGCGATGACGATGATAAAAAGAGAAAGACTAAGTCCTCCGGCGACGGATCTGATTTGCTTATTTACGGTTTGTCATTCGCTTCGAAAGGACAAGAATATTTGTTGAGAGAATTAGATGTTATATTGCAAAGTTACAGTTATTTTACGGTGCAGAGAGTGGCGGAGAAAGGGGAGAGGTGTTGGATGGGGCGGTGTTTGCGGCGAAGGAAATGTCGCCGGCGGATTTGAAGTAAGAGACCAAGAAAGAGGTGATGGAGGGGAAATGTGCGGCATATTGGACCACGCTGGCGCCTAATGTGGAGGATTATAGTAGGAGAGCGGCTAAGACGGTTGCGCAGGCTCAGGGCATTTGATCAAGGGGATATTGTGGTGTGGAGATGTGACAGTGGATAGATTGAAGAGAGGGAATGAGGTATTGAAGAAGAGAATGAGTCTGGCTGAAAAGAATGCGGAGGTTAGTCCAGAGACATTGAAGAGCATTAAGAGGTTAGGAAATGAATAGTTTTGATTTATGAATTTTCTTTGGTTTATTTCCATTTCCATTTGCCTTTTCTTTTTCTTGCTTAAATATATAGTTCATAGTTAATGAGGTCATAAGGTTAATGGTAATGCTTGGATTTGGAAACAAGTAGCTTATTTGCATGGTGGGATAACCACAAGCTCTGTCATTGTGTTTTAGATAGCATAAAGAGTAAATATATTCCCCCAATATAGAAACAAGATAAAGGCTATTGAACAATTTCGTATAGAATTAGGTTTGCAGTGTGTTTAAGGAAGCGGAGCACAACAATAACATCGGTATTGACAGAATACTGAAGCACCTTTGTTCTGTAAGATAGGGAGAGAAGTGGAAATTCTTTTCATTTCATTTGTATAAATTTATGTGATAACGCTTAGCGCATTTTCTCCTTCAAGTACCATGCCTGAAAGCCATGAAATTTCAAAGGGAACTGGAACTGAAATACAACTTTGTTAAGAAGAATTCTACTCCATATGTTTTTTTTTCTTTTTTGATTTTGATTTTTATTTTGCACATTTAAAAAAAATTTATAAATATTTTTTAAATACAAATATATTAATTTTAATAAATCTAAAATAAAATTAATTTAGTAAATATATATAAGGTACCGATATTGGAGGAGTGTTATATTAACCATTTTTATGGGCGAACTTGATATAAAATTTAAAATCATATGTATTTTTGTTTTCATCTTAAAATTTAATATATATCCTATTTTATTAAGGTAAGATATCAAAATTTTCATAAGGTTAAATAAGTTCGACATTCCTATATGTATTTTATTCTAAAAATGCTGTAAAATGTTAGGAGAACGTGATAAAAAATTTGACGCGATCATGTTGAGTTTGAGTTCTACAGCAGGAACAAGATAAAGTTGAAGCCATCTAGGCATTCTACGATTCAACTCATACTGCTTACCATATTTAGCCACTCGAAACTCTCAAACTTCCAAGTTGGGACTTGGAATCTACAATCCTATATTCGGGATCAGTTATTCTAACTCCATAGTCTGACCCAAATCACGTTGGTCAGTCAACAAATTCCCCAGCAAAAACTGAGACCTATTGTCGTTTTGTTTTTGTTTAACCTTAATCTTATCCTTGGTTTTGACTTTGGTGACTTCCATAAATTGAAAAAAACATAGCAATGTAATAATACTAGAGATAAAAGAGTAGAGACTTGGTCCATTGTGTTGCTATTCAAAGCTTTATAGTTGATGGCGGCTGCGTGAAATTGTAGAGAAGAATACATTTTGAAAGCAAATTCAATGTTCATTTTTTTCCGCATTCACGTGATGATCATTGGTTGCTTTCAGCTAAAATGCCGCTACACCTTATTTTCAACATTTTACTACACTCCGAATCTAGTTGAAAAATCCTTGCCAGATGCCAATCCGCAATTATTGTTTGAAAATTGTCCTAATTAAATTTAGTCTTATCATTATAATAATAATTTTCTTTTCACAATTATTGTCATTTTTATTGAAATCAATGCCGTGATTCATATAAATGAATCTTAGTTCAATTAGCAAAGCTATTTGAGGTTACTTTCATACTTTTTTTTTTTTATGAACATAAATCAAATCAAAGTTCTTTTCCTTCTGCTGAAAAGAAATTTACAAAAAAGCCTGACTAATGTAACCAAAAAAAATTCTGACAAAAAATCCTTTTCTTCCTTAAATTCTATGATGGGCTTATCATGCCAAAATGATGTGTAGGAGGACTCATAAAATTTAAGAGACTCCAATTTAAATTTAGCATAGGTGAGGAAAAAAATTAAAAACATAAAAAAATTCGAAATTATAATTTTCAGTTTAATTTAAATTAATTTTTTATTTGATTCATGTTAAATTCGAATATTAAATATATATTAGTTTTAAATCAAATTTTAAATTAAAAAATAAAAATATAAAAAAATAAAATAGAATTATATAATTTTATTAACCTTTTTTTATATATTTTAAATTTTTATAAAATAAACAATAATTATTTATATTAAAATTCATTTACATATATTAAAATTTTATTAAAATAATATATAAAAAACAAAAAAATTAATTTAAAATCGATAAATCTCTCAACTTGTGGCTGCCAGATCTGACTGCCCCATCCTTATCGTCTGATAAACCTTTTCCACGACAGTCAACTTCAATAAGAAAGACAAATACTTCTTACTATTTACTATAAAAAATGATCACAAGTAATTTTAATTACAGTAAAATATATGATATTTTAGTTTTAAAAATTTTTAATGTAATATTTAAATTATAAATTTATTAATAATATAATATTTAAAAATTATTTATTTTACATAAATTATTATTTAAAAATAATCATATCAAAAATAAATATTATATTAATTAATAAATTCATAATTTAAATATCATATTAAAAAATTTTAAATTGTTTCATAGACATTATTATAATTTAAGAATCATCCTCTACATTAACCATAATTACTAGTACTAATACTTCCAATCCACATTAATACCTATTTCCTACCCTTGGATTCATATATACCCAACAATGAGACAGATATCCAACGGCCAACACCTCACTGAATCATTTGCTTACTCTTCTGAGTTCTGAGTTCTGACCCACACAGACAGGGCCGTTAACCTCAGAATCCTTCAGTCAAAATTTTGCATCTTTGAAACTTAACATTCTATGGAATAGTGAATTCTTTATAGAAAAATCTATTCAATCCCTTTAAAAACTCCGCTAAAAACTGAGTGGCGGACCCTCCAACCAACAAATGCCAGAAAGAGTCATTTGTCCTTTTTTTATTGCCATAAATGATTCTTGGTATTAACTTTTGGGGGTCTATGAATTGAACAATGACAGCAGTGCAAAAACTGAATAATTGCTAGGTGAAAAGATACTGAAAATGAGAAAACGTGAGGGTTGTTTAGCTTCAACTTTTGTTGTTCTTGTTGTTGTTTGCAGTTTGTATGTGAAAACAGTCAAAGGAGTGTACATCAAGTACAATACCGGAGCTGGGATTGTTCCTGGCAAACTGAACATTCATTTGGTCCCACATTCGCATGATGATGTTGGCTGGTTGAAGACTATTGATCAGTACTATGTTGGATCAAACAACAGCATTCAGGTTGATTCATATTTTGGCTTTGACCTTGTTAATATTACGATTTTACTTATTATTATCAGTTATGGATCTACAGGAGGTTGCTGTCTTTAGTTTTGATTTTTGGTGATTTTTTATGTTTTTAAGTGGATTTTTTTTTATCTGCAGGGTGCTTGTGTTCAGAATGTGCTGGATTCAGTTATTGAAGCATTGCTTCGTAACTCAAATAGGAAGTTTGTGTTTGCTGAGATGGTAAATAAATACAATTGATTACTATTGGATTTCCTTTTGCAGTAACTCTGATTATGTTTGTAATGAAAAAGAAAAGCTCTTATTTTAATTTTGATCTTTGAAATTATAATAATTTGTGCATTCATTCTTTAAGAACTT